CCCGATAAAAGCTATTTTCCAAGTTGTGTAACAAAGACTCTTTGCCGTTAAGTCTGGTACTCGAGAGACCGTCATCACTCTAAAGCTAAATGGAAACGGAACTCGAGACAGTTGGAAACGGCAACGGAACGACCGTTACCGAAATCAAAGTCCCATCAGCACCGCCCTTAGATGGCGGCGAAGCAGCCGAGGAAGGGGCCGATTGCGGAAGCCGCGAAGATTCGGCGACTGGAGATTCGGCGACTGGAGGGCGAGTGCGTAAACAGCGAGTGAAGGGGCCTTGGTCGCCTGAGGAAGATGCAATACTGAGTGAACTCGTGAGCAAGTTCGGGGCGAGGAATTGGAGTTTGATTGCGCGTGGTATCGCCGGCCGTTCTGGCAAGTCGTGTCGGCTTCGTTGGTGTAATCAGCTTGATCCGGCCGTTAAGCGCAAGCCATTTACTGGTAAGAAGTCTATATACATTTGTTAATTTTTCTTTGATCTGTCGATGTAGTTATCTATTTTTCTTAGCGTATAGGAGTTTCTTGGATGTTTTTATCTGTCAGATTTATATAATGATTTGAAGTTAGAGTAATATGCTTTCCAAAGTTCAAGCTATGTGATCTAATTGTTAACAAAGATTAATGCCTTCTTTGTTTGTTTTAAAACTACAATCTCTTAAGAACTATGCTTTAAGTGAACTATCATATCATTTCCCCAAAATTTCTAAATGCCGAACTCTTTTGTTATGTTGAAACTGAAACAAAGTAGCTAGAGCTCTTGCTATGTAAAAGCTTGAATCACATATTTCTTGTTGAAATTGGGGCAAGAGGAGTCTAGTTGCTCGGAAATGGCAGTAATTTTTGGCAAGCACTAGGGAAACTGCTTGTAATTTGGCCTAGTCTCATTACTTATAAGAAAGTAGCAATCTTCATATTATACAGTTGGTATTTGAGCAGAAATAATATGTATCAAGTCAATGAACATTCTACTCGTAGTCATATACTCATATGGCAGCAGAGAATATTAGTTTGTAACTTTCACTTCATCAATTTTTTACTTTTAAACATATTTATGCATTTCTGTGGTTAGTTGGTGTGTTTCGATTTATTAACATTTAACTTTTTGACAAGAATGTTTTTTAGTTCTTTCGGATAAATCAAACTGATAATCAAGTTTGCGATAGATGAGGAGGATCGGATGATAATTTCAGCTCATGCTGTACATGGGAACAAATGGGCAGTGATTGCAAGGCTTCTACCCGGGAGAACAGATAATGCTATAAAAAATCATTGGAATTCCACGTTGCGGCGCCGATACATGGATCTTGGCAGAATAAACCCAGAATCTTCAAATATGGTGGAAGATGCTGGCTTGGACAAAAACAAGGCATTATCTGAAGAAACTCTGTCTTGTGCGGAGGACAGTTCATTCAGATCCCTGGAAGTAAAAGATGTAAGCTCTTCGGAAAAGTTAGATAATCAATCAAAGGGAAAAGCACCAACAAGGACTCAATCTAGCCATGAATCAATTGAACAACCTACTCTTTTCCGACCTGTAGCCCGTATCAGTGCTTTTAATGTTTATAATAACATGGATGGACCAGAATTTGTTTCACTTTGTTCAAGGCCAGTTCCAGTGTTAGGTCCTATTCAAACATCAAAGCCAGATGTTGGGATAAGCAAATTGCTTGAAGGAGTCTACACCGATTGTTTAGTACCTCAACAATGTGGTCATGGCTGTTGTGGAACTCAAAATGGTCAAAGTAAGTTCTTGCTGGGACCAGAATTCGTGGAATTTTCAGAACCAACATCTTTTCCAAACTATGAGTTGGCTGCAATAGCCACCGATATAAGTAACCTTGCTTGGCTGAAAAGTGGATTGGAAAATAGCAGCGTCAGACCAATGGATGATGCAGCTGCTAGTACAACACCTCATAGATCTCTAGCGCACATGGGACATTTTGAGGAGAGCCGAATGAGTGATCGTTTAAGTATTGAAGAGAGAGAAACAGCAAGTTAATGGGCACTATGACCAACCTGATGTCAACATAGAATGAGGCAATTGTACTTATAAATTGAGAGAAAGCGGTCAGAAAAATGATGAAGAATGGCAGTCTTCGCTTTTGAATTAGCTTGGGAGTAATGCTGAAATGGGATCCTGATTTCTTGTGTTCAAGGTAAATGTCATGCGGTACTGAATCTTAAGAAAGGCTTCATGGTTTCATGTTCATTGCACTGCTTGAGCTAGAAGTTTAAATGGGCATAGTGGTTGATAAGTTTGATACAGGGGAGCTTGTTTCCGTTTTCATTTGATCAACAATTCCTATTAACATCCTTGTAGCAGCATGAACCGATGACAAAGTTCAGAAATATTGATTTACAATCTGATTACTAGTATTCATCTTTTTTCCCTTAACTTTGCTAGTATCTCAAATGTCTTTTCTAGTATCCATATTGGCCTTAAACCATATTCTACCAGGAGAAGGGCTGGTTTAAAGTTTGAACTCGAGATTGAGTGTCAAATAAAGAGTCGATATCAACGCAAATCCTTGCTACTATACCAGGATCTTAGATGACGGTTTTTTTATGATAGTATACCAGTATGTGGCAAAAACATGGCTTATCCTAGAATGAATTATAGTGGGGAATAGCCTCTAATTATGATTCATATTGAACTAGAACTCTTTGATATTTAGGATTGCAGAAAGTAGATGAGAACATGGGGTTTTTAATGAAATGATCATGTTTAGTGCTTGAATGACCTTTGATGCCATTGCCAGAGAATAACATGGGCTGTGGGACAAAGCGTAAAGTAGGTTTCATGTGTTTAATTCTGAAGTAGAGCTGCAACTGCCTTGATATTTAGTTTTGTTAGTTTTGATATTTAGGAGTGGCAATTATGTTTATTTCCTTTTGATAGTAAAATGAGAGTGAAAGGCTTTAAAAGCTGGTGATAGTGAGTTAATATACAAGTGGAAGACATCTGCTTTCACTAATAGCAAGTGGCCATCGCTAGTGAAAGAGTTGATGTACCCTTTCCAGGTTTCAATGATTCAAAAGCCCTGTCACTCCCTAAATATCATATTAATCTTTCCAGGGTTCAAACCCTGAAAGGGACACATGCTAGGGGCTGCCTGAAAGAGGGTGAACATGTGGCATTCCATTTGCAGAGCTGCTTTTGGACTGAAACCAAATGTATGTGGTGCCCAACTTTGAATCCCCATCATCTCCCTTTTCGTCCCAATTCTGTTGGTTTATGAATACAAAGATTCAGCTTTATGCACTGAGAGGGTCTTTTCTTTTCATTTTTTTTCTTTGGTGTTTGTTAAACGGGGATGAGTTGAATGATTGCCTATTTTCATGAGACCTTGAAATTTGATGGATTGTGGGTGCCATGTTCCTTCTTTTGTCTTACACTTCCAAAGCCACATTGAAAGTCAAGTCTGATCCAACATCTAAACAGGTGACAAGTTCTTCTAACACTATTTTTCTCATCATTGAGACTTAAATTCAAGACGTCAATTGTGTATTCTCTGATATCTGTCACATGGCTAGAGATCCTTTTAACAATTTGTACAGTCTTAGACAATAAATTCGATTCGGTCACCTAAATCAACAACTTCCCATATGTAATAGGGTAGTAGGCTTTGAGAATAGCTTCCGTGAAAGACCTCCGGCAGTTTTAGATAAAATGCAATGCATGTACCAAAGTAACGAACAAGCCATTAAAACTTTAAAAAAATACAGAAACGTAACATTCAAAGAGCTCACTGAGCCATCAAGGGAGACAAAAAGTGAGAGCAAGAGAGAACATAGAGTAAATACTTGATTGTATTACTCAAAATAATGGATGATAAAATAAATTGGAGAAGACTTCTATTTATAATTAAGTCTCCTTACTATAAACGACACATAAATTTATATTAACGGTAGAAATAAAAAAAATCTAAAAAATGTAATACGTTAATTGATGTGATTTGACAAGAAATACCTTTAAGAAAGTACATAAATAATGTAAATCATTTTAAACTAAAATCAATCATTTTATATATGGTCCAAAATTTTGAAGATGTTTGAGGTACTAATTTGAGTTATTATAACAATATTTTGATTCTTAATGACAAAAATAGGAAGAATTCTTGATTAATTTGTGAATTGACTTTAAGTTGGATGTAACACTTTCATATTGTAATTTTTAAAAATAAGGCATAGTGATAAAATTATCTTCAACATTTATGTAAATTGTCACTTGATTCTATTTTTCTTTTAGTATTTTAGTTTCCACTATTCAAATTTTGGTTAAATCATGTCATGTTGGGTGAAAATCATTAATTAACAAATAGTTAATCTATATTATAAATATTATATTTTCACATGTATCTAATTATTTATGTGACATATATTATATCATCATTTTGATGGTACGATAAATATCACGTCATCATTTTAAATAATGTAGCACATATCATATCATCATTTCTATGATATAACACTTATCACATAAGTAATTAAATATAAATAAAAATATCACATCAACAATATGAGTTAATCGTTAGTCAACTAACGATTTCAATTTAATAGAGTTTATGTTAACCAAAATTTAAAACATTAAAATTTAAAATGTTCTAAAAAAATAAATGATAAATTGATAATTTATGCAAATGTTGAGAAATCATTGTGCCTAAAAACAATACCAAACTATTGAGAAAAGAAACTATTCCAAGGACAAAAACAAAACATTAGTAACAACAGAGATGGCAGATTCAACAACAAAATAAAAACAGGGTTATGCAACTCAATGGTGAAAGAAACTATACCCAGTAATTTGCATACTTGTTAAATTCTTGACCGTCAGATCATCTTCATGATTCACAACATCACTATACTGATACCATCGGACGTACAGAATCTGCTTAGGACAGAGATCCTCAACTACTAACACCAAATCTTCCAACCACTTTGTTTTCTGTCTTCCATTTTTAATCGTCGCATTAATAATGTAAAGAAAAGAAATCGATTCTCGGTTCTAGGTGCACTCACCCCACGTTTCTGTTTTTCTTCTCTTTAAGCTTCTGTTCCACTCTCTCTCTCTCTCTCTCTCTCTCTCTCTGTCATAATCTTTTTTCTATGCATTTGAGAAGCCATGGCTCTGTAAATCTTTGCCATGTTTTCACCTTTAGGTTCTTTGGGTTAGTCCTTATTTTCTTCCTTCTTTTATAAGCTTTTCATATTTAATGTAAACGTTAATGGAGGTAAAGGGTCACCTAATCCAATAGTAACTTCTTTAAATTCTCACATTTTGTTATTTAAAACCCTCACAAAGCTTGAAACTTTGACACCATTGATGACCTTCAAAGCTTCAAACTTTAACCCCGTTATACTCTTTTAACTCCAAAAATGTCATCATTAGAGATGTCCCACATCGATTTAGAGCAAGGGGCTCACCGTCGGAAAGGGAGTGATGTCAGCGCCGACGAGGCTAGCGTCTGCTTCTCCGACGCCGACGAGGGTTCTTGCTATTCTCAGTTCTATTCCACCACCGGCTGTTCCTACGAATATTGCGGTTCAGATGGCGAGATCGGTGACGTTCCGGGTTCCGGGAGGGTGTCTTCGGCCTCGGATTGTTCGCTGGTGGTGCAGATTCAAAGCGGAGCTAATGAAATCAAAGTGCATCTGTCTAAAGTCGAGAAAGATTGTAGAATTTGCCATTTAGGTTTAGAGAGTAACAGCCATGAATCCGGTGTTGCTATTGAATTGGGTTGTTCTTGCAAGGATGATCTTGCTGCTGCTCATAAACACAGTGCTGAGGCCTGGTTTAAGATCAGAGGAAATAAGTAAGCATAATACAATTCCAATTTCACCCTTTTTAGTGTAAATTAACCACCTTTTCATGGATCATTATTGATATTTCTGTGTATTATTCTTTTGATGATTTCTTGAACTTGGGAGAGTTACCGTTTCTTGATAGTTAACAAAAAGTGATTATTTTGGACTGTTAGTTTCACTATAGTTGTAAGGTGAAAACATGAGACAAATTTGCTTAATTGGAAAGAAACTAGGATAGATATTACACTTATAAATCAGCTTCAAAGTAAAGCTAAAGACTAAAGACGTGTGCTATGTTTGACTACACCGACGATTCTTTGCTGTTATGTGCTAAATTTTGAGGTTTAGGAATCTCTAGCTTTTGTTCTTCTTTATGTTCACTTTCCATGTAGGAAAGTGGGGCTTTGACCCTTTTTTAATTAATGCATTCTCTAATCTTTGGTCGAAGATCATTGTTTGGTGGCGCATCGATTCGGATATTTTTAATTTGCATGTTGCAGATTCTAGATTTCTTGCCTGACATGGTTAGGGATATTTGATATTACTGATGTTTTAGTTACCGAACCATTGGTGCAAGAAATTCATTGATTCTAGACTTTTAGCAGATTTTGCATCGGCATGTTCTGCACTTCATGCATGTCTGGTTCGGTATCATGTTTCACCGAAACGGTTGTTGATTCAATGACTACCACAATCACGGTGGGCCGAATGGTGTTTGTTAGCTATTGTAACCCTATTATTGACCTTTATAATTGATTTGATAGGGACCGATGTTTGGAATCGATGAAGATTGTCTATGATATCTGAGTTCATTTGCAACTGTTGAAACTATGAACAACTATCCGAGCAGAGGAGCATGGTTTATAGTAGTAGCTCATTAAATCTGTAATGTTGTATGATTCGTAAGTCATTCATCGTCATTAAACAACACCCTTATCTCGAATGGCATATTGGATCATCCTTGTACTCGAATTTCTGTCTTTTGTGAATTATCGTGTACCTCTCCATGTACTCATTCGATTTGCTCAATTCTTTTAGGACTTGTGAGATTTGTCATTCTATCGCTCGCAATGTAGTTGGAGTGAATGAGATCGAGTCGGTGGAGCAACTAAACAAGACCAACAGTTCTGCTGCAACAGTTGCAGTCTCAGGAGCAGTATCCTATTCAGACTCCCGAAACTTCTGGCATGGTCATCGCTTCCTCAACTTACACCTTGCGTGCATGGTTTTTGCTTTAGTCATATCATGGCTCTTTCACTTAAACGTGCCATCGTCGTAAAACTTCCTTCCGCCCGCAGTTGAACACCATTGAAAAGAATGAAAAATAATCAGAACTACTGTAAAGGAGCCTGGGAAACTTGTTGCTGTGATGATGAGTAATGGAATCATATACACCTCTCTTATCCTTACGTGTAGAAAGCTTGTTATATTATGCACATTCATCTTAGTTATCAAAGCCCTTGATGGTTATCACTGGTTCATATAATCGTTCTCCCTTGATTGTCATCAGGCTGCCGTTTGTTTGACCGGATTTAATTTTATTCACGGTTGTGATTTCAGGGAAATATCTTGTCCAGCAATTATGATTATAGTGAGAAATCTTAACAAATTTTCAAAACCAACGATAAATATTGAAGAATTCTGCAATGCAGCGAAATCCCAGAATTAAATACAAGAGCCTGAAGATGAAAAAAAAAACGAAAGATAAAAAATAAATAAAACAATTTGAAAACCTATACAGTATTCAGTTTTTGGTCCTTTTGGCTTCCAAGTTGGTGCCATCTTTGAGGGTTTCTTGGGCATCAGTTTCCATCCCTGGGCTAAACAGGCAGACCGCTTGTAAATGCAAAGCAGTTGGCCACAGCGGCGACACCACCTGCGCTTGCGTCGCATACCCGAGAGCCTGAGAGCCTGTTGTGGCTTATCATTCATCAAGTAAGACAAGCAACGTCGCATACCCGAGAGCCTGAGAGCCTGTTGTGGCTTATCATTCATCAAGTAAGACAAGCAACGTCTGGAATAGACGGTCAGTGACATTATGGTACCGCCATCGATGAACTACACAAGGCACAGTAGTTGTTAATGTTATGAAAAAAACTAGAAAATTGAAACCGATTGAAACCGTAACATTTGGTCGCAAAGGACAGTCGTATAGGAAGTGTTGTTTCCTTGCATTCGAAACATTGTGTCTATTATTTCAATGAACAGTCATATAACCAGTCTTGAACTCAGTATGTTGTTGTACAGCAATAATCACAAGCAGTATAGATTTGAAAATGAGTGACACCTGTGTGTAACAGTCAATTGCAGTTGTGAAATCCTTAGCTCGAAATGCGGTATCGCCATGTTTCTTGGCGTTCAAGGTTTCCTGCATTTGGCTGGTCCACATTTGGAATGAAAGCTGAAATGAAACATAGAATTTGGATACAAATTACATGAAATCTCAAGTAACATTAGAAGTGACCAGTGTAATAATAGAAAATCGAGGACGTAGCGAACCTCATTAGCAATTCCCTCGTCGTCTTTGTATCCAATCTTCTCCAATATTTCATGTATAGCAGTCAGATCAATTCTCATGCAAGCCTCTCCAAAAGGTGCCAACGACAATGGCTGTTTCGAAGCAGTTCTATGTGGAATACCCCTCAACACATATGATGGCACCTAGCAAAACTCCATCCCATGAGAAATTCAATGGTGTTTACAAAAGATAAATCTGTAATAACGAAGGCCATGGAGTTGGGATGATACCAAACTGCACAAAATTAACAGCTAAAGATTATGAACTTGCAGGATTCAATTCAATAATCCATTATGTGTACCTGTGTCTCCTTCTGAACTGACATGAGAGAGATGACAAGAGATTTCGTGTTCAGCCTCTCGCGAGCTTCATACTGCAAACAGCGCGAAGCTAACCGCACTAACTCTGCTCCGTCATCGCTTGAGAAATGGCCTTCCAAAGCAGAGTCCATCAACATGAGAAAATTCTTGCCTCGGATCAAATCAAGTGCCTACAAACAAAACAGACAGATTTCAATAGCACATGGATTAATTCAATTGGAATACACCAACATCAACAAGTTTAAGTTCACATAACTAGGCTTTCTCTTGCAATACCATTAAAGATCCTAATTACAACAAAAAAAATATTACTATGACAAAGAGAATTTACATGACTGGGAGGAATATGTTTGCCACTCATAAGATCTAGCAGCAAGGTTCCGAAGCTATACACAACACTTTCCGGCGTCACTCGACCTTCCGAAGAAGCACATCCAGACTTTGAGTAAAGATTCAAAGTGATACATTTCTTAAATGTAAAGAAAATGTATCTTTGAACATGTTAACCTGTTCTCAGATATTCTGGAGGTGTAAAAGCTAAGTTTGTACTATAACTCTTGCCATCTCTGCTGTTCTTCATGAGCCCAAAACAAGACAACTTGGGTTTACCATCCTTTTACCAGAAAAAATGAAGGAAGAAAAATTCAGAATCATAATCAAAGGATCATTTGATTTCACAAGTAAAATCTTTATTAAATTACATTATCGAACAAATCCTATAAGCATTGAGATCATGGTACAAAGCTCTTCCTTTACTGCTACAATACTCCAAAGCTTGAGCCAGATACAGTGCCACCCTCAACCTCATTGCCCATCTCATTGGCTGATTTTCCCGTCAAAATTAACCATTTTCCTTGAACTTCAATCCCAAGCTTCACTTGGAGCCTAGTGGGAACAAAAAGGAAGAAGAAAATCTATGAACTTACAGTGAAAAAGATGCTTAGCCAACGTTTGATTTGGCATAAACTCGGCGACCAAAAATCTCTCATCGCCTTCACAGCAATAACCGATCAGATTCGCCAATCGCTCACTCCTTAAACTCCCAACAGCTTTGGCTTCTTCCTAAAAAAACATGCAATTTCCAAAAAGTAATGTTTACTCAGTTAAAAGAAAAAAAAAAGGAAGTGGTGAACTTGTGTGATTGTATTAAAAACGAGGAATTGACAAGAATCGGGCCAGGCGAACTTGTTAAACCGTTTAAAGGCAACCCAAAGGTCATTGTCGAGCTTCCCTTTGTAGACAAATCTCTCATCGCCTTCACAGCAAACCGATCAGATTCGCCAATCGCTCACTCCTTAAACTCCCAACAGCTTTGGCTTCTTCCTAAAAAAAATGCAATTTCCAAAAAGTAATGTTTACTCAGTTAAAAGATCAAGTAGTTGGAGAAAAAAAAAAAAGGAAGTGGTGAACTTGTGATTGTATTAAAAACGTACGAGGAATTGGCAAGAATCGGGCCAGGCGAACTTGTTAAACCGTTTAAAGGCAACCCAAAGGTCATTGTCGAGCTTCCCTTTGTAGACAAAGTTCGGAGCATTTTCACCGTGTTCCGGCATAGCAGCTTAAATGCTCCAAGCAAAACTCAGTGAAACGGCCTTGTGTTCTTCTCACCTTTGCCCACATTCTCCGCATTTGATCACAATAAGAAAAAATGAACATCTTTTAAAACAAAGAACTAGAAACCGAAGACAGAAAATGCAGTACCGAGATCGGAGGATTCGAGGACGGAAGCTTAAGGAGACTGAAACCAACAGATAGAGAATTTTGAACAACGAGTTCCCATTTTTTTTTCCTTTCAAATCAAATGATCGGACTCCGTACATGTCCGCAACAATCCCGAACTCTGGTCGTCGTGAATTCAAAGTTTTCTTCTTTTTCTTTTCTTTTTAAGGCACTTTCTTTCCACTCTCTTTACTATAAAAATGCAAAATTGTAGGACTTAAAATTTGTTGACATTTATCAAACAAATTCACAAAAAGACTTTTTTTTCCTTCTACAAGCTCATCATTTGAGTTCCTTTTTCCCTCTCATTTCTCTTTTTCAACTTGTGTGTGGTTTTCTCTGGAAAATATGTTATGATATGGAGGACCTTTTGACAAATCTTATTTGCCTTTTAACGGATAATATTAAAAAAAATAGGGTTGTTCTTTCATACGCCTAGTGGTAAAAGTTGAACAAGATCATACTTTGCTTTGGTCATAAGAGAATCACTGACATGGGGAAGCAGTGGATTAGTTTGGTCTTATAGATTTGGCAAAGTTGCATAAGAAACTGATTATCGTTCTTGTTCTTTATCAGGGACCAAGTAACCATTTGGGGGGGGGGTGTTAAATAATCAAAATCGAGAAGAACAACAAGCAATTTGGGTTCAATTTGATGCTTGATTAGTTCCAAAAAAATGTGATAAATTTATGCATTTGTATTCCACAGTTTTGGTTTTTAAGTATATCACGTTTTGCATGACAAATCTCCCATGGAAACACGAATAATGTGCATGATCGTCTGGAAATGATTGTTGAAATTAAGAAAATTTGAAAACCATTGATGACAGTGTAGGAAATTGTGGAAAAAGCATGTGGTCATGACTCGTCAACCTCCCTTTTTCCTATAATCAGGAGGGAATTTCTATAATGTGATTCCCAGAAACCGTAATCAAAGGGAAAAAAACAAAAGGCGGATAGCTTTCTTGAAAGGGTTTATATATCTCTGTTTACTGCACATTTAACCGATAGTTGTAGCGTACGACAGTCTTAATATACGGTTAAGGAAAGACGTTACAGAAAATAATATTTTTTTTAATATTTTACGTAAAAATTTACCTAAAATATTATTTTACCTTAAACATTAATATTTTTTAACATTTTCAATAAAGTGCCTAATATTAACAATTCGTATAAAAAAATATGTTTAGATAACGTCGGTAAAACGTTCAATAATATTTCCTGTAAAAATAAAATATTTTAAGAAAATTTTTACCAGAATTATTAAAAAATTATAACATTTCCGATAATCTTTATTACCATATATATTACGCTACACAATTTCCCACATTTAACCACTTAGTCACCTCGTAAAGGAAAATATTGGATATCTGAAAACTTAAACTATAGGGTAAACTAAACATTTAGCACCTCAACTATCACTTATATTACGTTTTGGTCATCAACTATTTTTTGTTTCCAAATCTTACCTAACGGTATATTTTTATTTTTATTTTGTTACCTATTGTTAAAAACATTAACGGTAATTCTAACGTGTCACCGTATGGTAATTTCATATCTCCATTTATAAATTTCAAAAAATTTCACGACAACAATTTTGTTAATTCTTTAATAGCAAGTGGATAAAATGAAACTAAAAATGTAATGTTAAGTATGATTTTGACAAAAAATTATAATTAGATGACCAAAATAGAACAGAAATAATAGTTAGAGTACTACACGTATAGTTACCCTAAACTTTATGATAGGAAATGAAATGATGTGAAAATCAGATTGAAGGTTGGATTCAATTTTGGGTTTGATTAGCTAAATCACTAGTTGTAACACTGATTCCTGGTTAAACCAACTCATCATGTTAATAGGCGAGGGAGCTAGGGGTGCTAAGAGTATATTTACCAACAATTTT